TCTTGACAATAAGAAAAATGCTGAAAATCACCAGCTAATCTATTCATTCATTAAAAGGCCCCTCTGAGGCTGAAGCCTAGCTGATCTTGGGTGAGAGGTAGCATACACCCTGGGCAGGTTTCCATTCTACCACAGGGCTGACACATAAAGACAGACAACTACTTGTGCTCACAGTCACACATGCAGGCAGTTTAGAATCACCAGTTAATACCAGTAAATGGAAGAAACCCAGCAGGAACATGGAGGAGATGCAAACTCTGTATAGAAATGTTCAGCTGGCAAGTTTGAACCCAGAATATTGTTGCTCTAACAACAGTGCCACACAAATTACCAACTGTATTCAGTAAATGAACATACAAAACCAGGTGCCTCTGCACAGGCAAAACAGTCATATAATGTCCCAAGCCCAGCAGGAACATGGAGGAGATGCAAACTCTGTATAGAAATGTTCAGCTGGCAAGTTTGAACCCAGAATATTGTTGCTCTAACAACAGTGCCACACAAATTACCAACTGTATTCAGTAAATGAACATACAAAACCAGGTGACTCTGCACAGGCAAAACAGTGAAATAATGTCCCAAACAGGTCACTGTTCCAAGCAGAGACATACTACATGGTATAGATTTTGATTTCAACCCTGACTGGCCATGCTGATTGTCAACACTGTGGTGAATCTGCATTCATTTGCCAAAGACGCAGGGCAGGTCATCAGGTCATCAGGTCATCAGGTCATCAGGCCATCATGAATGCTTGGCACACAGCAGCTTTAATTAGTGTGTTCTCGCCTCCTGGGCTGCTGAGTGCAGGCTATCCATTCCTAATTCTGCAAACTGGCTTGCAAAGATTTTTAGTAATTCTCCAAAGCACAGATGATGCCCAATTCAGAAATTATATGAAAGTTCATGTAATAATTTCACTCTTTTATTCAAATGCAAGCCAAAGATACAGGAAAGATGGCAGAGTAAGAATAACTCTTTTAATGCACACCATTAGACACACAACAGAAGCAAAACAGGAAGATGGCGTACACCAATAGGCTGCAACTACTTGTAACTCATTTAGGGCTTCCTAAAATGGTCGATTTAGATAAGTTATATCTACCAGAGGAGAGAACTGAACTATAGGCAGAGCAGAAAATGCAGGTACTGTATATATTAGGGATGGGCAATGATTTTTGAATAATTGAATAATCGTTAAATAAAAAAAAAGAACATTTCATGCCACTGATTTCCTTTGTTTTTATCAGCACCAGGAGATAATGTGATAATGAGGTCAGTATATCATTTTACTACAGTACCAAATACAAACAGCAGAAACATGCAGAGACTACAAAAAGCTCTGCGTGGAATATCTTGAAGAAAAAAAACAAGAATAGTTCCCAGCGAAATTCAAATAGTATTTTAGCTTGGAAAGCCTATTCTTTTTAGGCAAAGAAAGGAGTTTGGTAACTTAAGTAAAGTAACTACTCTGGGGAAGAAGCACACACAAATGATGTACTCATGTACATATACAGATCATGCTTTGTTGTGTTCAGAGAGTCTACACAGTTTGTGGTAAACCAAACGAATTCAGAAAAGCAGTTCAGGCAGGAGGAAGCCAATGCTTAACCAAATCCAAAGGGCAGAACAAGATTCCATAGACCACTGAGATAACAGTACAGATAATTCAGTTTGAGGAATATGGA